TCGTAGGGGCCAGGTTGGCGGCCATCATGCTTTGTGTTGCAGGCGCTCCGAGCCTTCCATAGGTTGCCATCTGCTGTTGGGGCCAGTCACCAGCAGTCCATGTGGGCGGGAGGGACATTCTCTGTGGCAGTGTTCCGGCTTGCAGACATATGGCATTTGAGCCAAGACTTGAGCCAAGTGTTGGTTACAGAAGTGTAAAAAATGGCCACTTCCTCAACCGCATCTTGTCGGCATGATGGCTCACTGCATGTGCGGTCCAAGCGTCCTCTTGAAGTTACCTCCATGGCCTGGGCAGCGGACAGTCTCTGCTGTACATGCAGGCACACGGGTCAAAACTGATGGCCGCAGATCTTGCATTTCACCCCATCTCGCCTTCCAGGACCCGTGGCGACAAGCAACAAACGTACAAAAAATGAGGGCGGCAAACAACCCAAAGAAGGAGACACAGCTCTCAGGCACAAAGATAGACACACGCACACACAGACAGAGTTCCTTCTCTATGCTACGACAGTTTGCCAGCTTCCTGGGCTTCGGGTGTCCTACGCGATGACCTGACGGAAAGCTTTCCAGTAGACCGATGTCGACTGTCACAGTCGAAAATTTCAATCCCCCAGGCAGCCTTGTCAAGCATGATTTTCTGATTGGTGTTGATGGCCTTCATCACCTCACTCAATGTCTTTTCTTGCACAGGGCTGAGGGATGTTACTCGCAGCTCCAGCACACTCCTGCCCTTGTTGCAAGAACTGGGACGACGTCATGTTTATCATGGAAAGGCTGCCTAAGCCAGGGATCGTTGTCAACCACAAGGCCGCGCCTACGCACGAGAATGCCTGCATGAGGCCGGATGGAAAACAGTCTCCACCACGGGCTTCAGTACTTCGACCACAAGCTTCAGGGCCCATGAAGCCGAGTCGGCAGTTACTTGCAAGCCAGGGCACCAGGGTCGAGCCCTCGGTAATGGCTCGAACCTGACAGAGGTCTCAACTTGGACGACCCAACTTGCCCCATCGAGGCATGCGAACTCGTGTCTGCTTCAGACAGCCAGCCGGCAACCTAAGGGCCCCGGACGGGGTCTCTGCTTGAGGGATTCCTTAACTTGCACACACCTCAGGCAGTTTGTAGCGGAGATCGTGTTTCCTCAAAATCCCCGAGAGCATCGGTAGAGACACAGCCGTCCCTCCGCCCCAAGTCTTGTCCGACATGGACAGGACAGGACTGCAAGCCCAACCCGCAGTTCGAACTTCAGTCCGATGACTGCCAAGCAAGGTTCTTGACGTAGCTTTGTGATCTTATATTGCCCTGGAATCATTTGATTTCATGAGATGGCTTTTCTGTGAGGCTTCCTGTAGTCATGCTTGTGAGTCGGCTTCTTGTGCGGAGCCGGATGCTTGTGAGTAGGGACCTCACAGCAAACCTTACAGGGTGGGGGCCCAGGGGCTGGGCCGTGGTGAAGGGCCGAGGGAGCGGCCCCTCACCTGTGAGGGCCATGGGGGCAGGGGCCGGTGGGCGGTGGGCGCGTGATGAAGGGTGGAGGGGAGCGGGCTCACAAGAAACCTCACAACCCTCACAAAGAACATCACGGCACACCTCACAGCGAACCTTGCAAACCCCCTCACAGGACTTCCTTGACCACACAGCCTCGCGTACAGGAAACCTCGCAGGATTTTCACAGAAAGAACCTTCTAGCTGCTCTCCAGGCATTCCAGGGATAGAAGGTTACAAAATGTTACAAGCTTAGCTTCCTTCTACACCGGTGCATGGCAGGCGCACCAGGATCTTGGCTATGAGCGCCAGGGACCACCGGAAAGCCTCGATCGCAAGCCTCAGCAGGTTGCAAGCCTAAACGCATCGCGAGGGGCATGGGGAGGGGAGTGCCTACAGTAAAGGACCTCCACTTCTTTTTGAAGCTTCTCGGTCGCGAGTAAAATGTGACACAAGTGACAAAGGAAGAGACCCCTCAGCGACAACACAGGCCGCAAGGACAAGGCAGCCGACTGGAAGTTTGCCACACGGACATGTCCAAGGTATCAGAATACTTGACTGTTGAAGCGGAGCGCCCAAAAACCTGCCACTGCTGAATGCTGCCGAAGCACTCGTTGGTCGTCATCTCTTGTAGCAGCCCAACTGCCGCTGAAACGAAAGGAGGGAACCTGGACATCAGGAGCTCCGAAGAACATTGAACTGGATTCTTACCCCCCTTGTACCCTCTGGCTGCATCTGCTGAGAAGCATCTCCACAGGAATGGCATAGCCCACGTGCCGCAATCCGATGCCCGAAATCTCTTCCACCATCTTCCGTGGAGTGGCATACATGTCCACGGTCATGGAAATGATTCCTATCGGGCAATGGCGACGAGCGCAGGAGGGTTCTGGATGCGGAAGACAGTCGAGGCCACTGCAAGGTGCTACGAACATTGACCCTGTAATGGCAACGATCTGAATACCCACAATACAAGGCATCGCCGTACGCTGCTCTTCCATGTGCCTATCTTCGACCTGCCAGCTTGATGTGTGTCGTAGAACCTGCTGCGCCGGAGCATGAGAGCCATTTGTGCTGCCAAATCTCTTCCAGAGATGAAGTGCATCCTCGTGGTGGACTGCTGAAAGAAGTCCTGGCACGATTTGCTGACCGAGGCGGACCAAGAATTCAGCGACTTCGTGCGCCCAAGAAGGTCCGTACCACCTCAAGCCTCGTTGACAACCAAGCAACAAAAGGAGCTTGAAACTGTGCTCGCACTGTCAAGTTCAAAGCAAACTGCACAGGGCCCCAAAATCCCGAGTCGCATCTGCCTCCACTCCCGTGAGGCTATCTGCAGAATATCTTCTACACTGCCAGGGGTCGCCCCTTGCGTCCTGACCAGCAGGCGCCAGCTCAAAGAAGACCGGGAACAAGCGCCGCGTCAAATGCAGGGAGTCCTGGCGAAACGCAAATCTCTGCCTTTTCACGGGCAAGCGCGGTGATAACTCGGCGCCTGGTCTTCCATATATCTGAAGAAGTTTCCCAAGGCATGCTCCTGCTGCCGTGGCTTACCTGTAAGCAGTTTGGCTCATTCTGACATGAAACCCATCAAATTTCTGTGCAGCGCGCCTAACATGGAGCTGAGCAGGCCCTCGATATTCTCCCAAAGCCATCCCCACGCGATCTCGTGGTTCGAATCCCACTCCTCTTGGGCAGCGCGCGAGTGACAAAGTTTCTAAATCGGCAACCCCCATGAAAGGGCCAAAAACAACACACAGCCCACATGGCTCCTCTGGAAGCAAGGACCGAAGCGAAGACAAAGTGACAGCCTTGAAGTCTGGCAGGTTGATCGTGCCTGGCGTGAAAGGTAAGGCCACGCGAAGCGAACAGTGTGACGTGCCGGAGGGCCAGTACTGCCAGACTCATTGCCCGACTGTTGTTCTGCGTCGTCTCTTCGCTGCCGACCATGTAAAGTAAAGTAGCAATCTTTCAAGCTCTCAACAGGTCCAGTTCACGCTGGTCCAATTTTAGGAAAAAAGGCGCCGACGAGCCTCGGTATTTCGCCAAAACCAGCGAGACCACATCGCACTCCTCCTGGTGACAGAAAGCTCTGTGCCACCCGTGCCACCTCACCCACCTTTAGGAGTCGAACCTTTGTTTGCTGCCTGCCGCCGGCTCGGTCAAAATTCGAAAAGATATGCTTCTGCGAAATCGCGTATGTCCTGCAGGCGTGAGGAGTTCGCGACGTTCCTCACCATGTCGTCAAACTGAGCCAAGATGATGTTCATCCACCTGGCATCCAGTGTGGTGCGGGAAGACTGGACATCTTGGCTTCTCACCCAGCAAGCAAGCAAGCAGTGTGAACGTGTTTGCGCCGAAGCCCATCACGGATGCATTGAAAAGCACCATCTCGTTGAATGTAGTGGGCACCTTCATCCTTGCACAGCATGGCATGACATAGCATGACATGGAGCATGACATGGCATGTGGTTCATGAGGAGCATCCAAAACAAACATCAGTCCGCTACATGCTTTGCAGAGAAGTCTCTGACCATCACTCGGCTCTCCGGAGCTGCGCGCGCCAGACTGGTTCGAGGCCTGGCAGTTGACTGCAGCCCTCGTGAGCAAACTTGAGCAAGTGGCATGAGGATGCCACCGCAAGCGGTTACAAGCGCTGCCCCAAGATGCCGTGCATGGCCTTCGCGGTCTTCACGTTGTTGTCTTGCTTAACTTCGTTCGCATTGGTCTCTTTCTCCTTGTCGCCCTCGTCTTCCGCACCTTCCTCCGGCTCCTACAGCGGTGCCAAGGATGAATGGGAAATAATGGGAACTCCCCTCTTGCAGAAACTGTCATGACTGCAGTGATGCAGCAAACATCAGGTCGAGCCCGTGCTACAAGTCTAGGCCATCATCGCACTTGCAATGTCCTCGTCTGCTACCATGACCTTCGCCGGGTGATGCATGCTCCCAATCTACGAAAATATCCAGCAGGGACTCGTCTCTCTCTTACCTTCCTACCCAGCGCCTCTGCATCGTTCGAGCCCTTGGATGCGAAGTTCCAACTGCGCAGGATCCTCAGCTTTCACACAAGTATGCTTTGCTCGTGACAGGCTAAGTGCACCCGTGTGCCACACACATGCACGTGCGCATGAACTCTGTGGCAATTCGGTCAATCCACTCATGGGGACGAATCATCCAACAAGATTGAGATCGCTTCCCAAATGGACCGTATATCCGAAACCCAAGGCAGGCGACAACTAAGCGTGTTGTCGGCAGAAGCAGAATGGAAGTCAGAACAAGTATAGACAGCAGGGGCATACTGAACCAAACGCGGCTGCCTTTACTTCAGAACGTTCTGACGCAACGCTCCGCAAGATCCAGCACTCAAGCATCTGATGTGCCGGCCAAGCAGCAGACTAATGCGCCCTGCGTACTCCCTGCGGATGTAGATGAAGGCGCCGCCTGTAGCTAGCAAGGCGGACACACCAGAATGCTCACTGGCCTCGAAGTTGAGAGAAAAAAGGCCGACAGCAAACCGCTTTTCAGGGCCAGGCCCAAGCTCAGAGTCTGCTGTGCTCGACTAAACACAGAAATCTAGCATAGGACCCTTGACATTGGCCAACCTACAGCACTATTTGAAGCGCCAGTTTTGGTGCTGATTTATGGCGAACGCTTGTGTGTTTTCCATATTGTGGCATCCTGCTCTCGACAGGAAGGTATATAAGTGTTGCACCAATCAAGGTGCCTTTCAAATGCCGTGTCAGCAAGACAACTCTGTTCATATTAAGGTCTTGATGTCAATCCTGCGAACGACCTGTGAACAATTCACTGCGGCAGCTGGCCGGCCTGCATAATTTATCAACGTTTGGAGTCCCGCGCGGACATTGCTGTTGAAGCGGGCTCCTAGCGTCTCCTGCAGGTGAGGATCAGCTGCAGTCCACTGAACTTTTGCTGGGAAGCTAGTGGAAGCTAGCTCCTCCATAAGATCCAGAAAGGCTTCTCGGAAGAAGTCCACACGCACACCTTGGCAACAATTGCAGCTGGTAGCCCTCGTACGCTTTGTGAGTTGCTTGGCCGGGCTGGTTCCTGATCTGATCCTGTTCGAGACATGCCGTAGATGTGCCGGGGCTTTGGTCATGGGTGCACCTCGAGATGCTCCGCATTTACGGAATTTTAAGTGTAGACGTGGGGCGAAGAACACCCTGTCTCGCAGCGAACGATGTATGCTGCTTGGGCAGCGGTTAATGAGTACAGGGTAGCCCTGTGACTCACCGGAAAGAGTAGAGCCGTCTTTCCGTCTTCCCCCGTGCGCAATCCTTCACTCCAAAGAGTCGGCAATTCGAAGCCCCGACAAAAACTGGACAGAGAACGCCCAAAGTTCCCTACAAACCTCCACAGCCCAAATGTTTGTACCTCCAAGAACTCAATCTCAGGGGCTCGTGACATCGATCTCCAAGTGCCGAAATCCTTGAGCTTCCTGGGCGCAGTGAACTGTAACAGAGGGAAAAGAGCCATCGGAAGTGCGACACCAAAAACGAATGCTATGGAACGCCTGGTGTCGATTTCCTTTTTCAGTTGCACCTTGTGCGAGCAGCATGCAATGATGCTGCTGATGCCGATCATGAATCGCATGGCCTCAGTTGGGGGTGGTCAGGAGGTGTGACTAGTGGAAGGGTCGAGACAAGACAAAGAGACTAACCGGAGTGCAGCCAAGACACCACTACAGCTTTGGGGCTCTTGAACAAAAGCTGCAGGCTTGGTGCTGCATCGAACAGCGATGTGAAAAACCTGGGCGAGCTAATATGCTCTTCGCTTTCAAAATGATTCGGAAAAGTGGCAAAGCCTTGCTACCACAAGCTTTCATCATGCACCGGCTTCAACAGTGAACTGGTGCCGAGCTGCATTTCCCCGGCTGCTTCGCGTGACTCAAACTCGCCACAAAAGGCATTCCAGGCCTCCTGGACCTGAGCGCAGAAATCCAAAAAGCAACGGCAACACCCCTTTTCCTTTTCATTTTTTTGCATGCAAAGCCTCCTCAGTCCCCAGAACCCCAGGATCCAGATGTTTCCCCAAACTCACGTGAGCTTAAACGAAGTTGCAGCTAGCTGTGTTTGGAGTCGTCTCCTGGCTGTTGGAATATGCTGCCCACAAGCTTTTCCAACCCTCAATCGCTTGGAGACAAGTAGCATCTGTTGCGATGGTCTCTGGTAGTTCAAAGTCATCGAAAGAAGAATCGTCCACTGTGGCATACTTATCCTGAGGTTCGCAGGTTGTGCTGCAATGATTCGCCCTCGACCAGGTTCTTGGACAGATTCACTTCTACACTCAGTTTTCTGGATGGTCACCCTTGCTGCCGAGAACGGCCGAAGATGGCAAAACTGCTCTAACTCGGCACTGAATACTGCACGATGAGATCCGAAGGAAGCCGAGGAGCTAAGCCAAGATTTGCCAAGGAAACTTCATTGTTGTCAGGCTCAGCGTCTCCTTCGGAGAACACGGCCAGTCCTCCCTCGCCTTGCTCGTTGTCGCTGCTCGCGTCTTCTTCCCACACCTACCAGTAGCAGGGCATGAGGCGAGGAGCTTCGCGCTCCAGGCAGGGTGAGTGGTTTGTGCGACTTTTTGTGTAGGGCTTAAGTGAAGTCATAATTATGTTTTCGCGCGCCAAAGGAACAGATTGGCAAGAGCACAGGCAACGTCCATTTAGCGCTGCTCCTCTGTTTGGAAAACTGCTACGCAGAATAACCTCAAAGCTCTGACCTCCTGCTCGTTGTCTTCGAATTCCCCTGACATGGCAGTTGGGGGCGGGCGAAAGGAATTGCCAGATCCAGAGCTGTAAGCGTGTATAGAAACTATCCGCTATGCAACGGTGTGGGTGTCTAAAAGGTATGATGAGGCTTATTTTGCGATGTCTGGCAGCGCCAGGCTTGAATGGAGGGGGCGACTGGTGCTCAGGTCGTTGGCCTTGTTTTTTTCCTACACTTTCCTTGATCCAAAATCAGGCATGTGTCATGCTGCTAAGCTATCCCGGCCTGCCATGCCATGGTGCATGCACAGTCAAAAGGCCAGTTCTTTGCTCCTAGTTTCAATCGATTTCCCTGCCGTGCTGCTTAATGCAAGCAGTTCGGCTTCTTTGTTCCTCCTGCTCTGACGGGTGCTGGTTGTTTTCTCCTCGTCATCACGATCCCCATCCGTCACTGAATCACCAATGCGATGAACATCATCAAAACCACCATAATCATCATAGCTTTCCGCAGCGTCGTCAGGGCCTGCCCGACGAACGGACCTCTCATGTCTCTGCCAGTCCTCGCAGTCCCCCTCTTTTTTCCGTTGAGCGTCGGGTCCGGAGCTCAGCCGATAGCAGCAGACGGCCTCCGATCTGCAAAGCGGTCTGCAGTACTTAACATGCAACGACCTGACGCGGAGAAGATAGCATGCTTCTGGTCAGGGCTATTCTCAAGATCTCGTAATATGCTGGTGTTGAGCGCCTCTCGAAAACTACTTCAAACCGGATCCTTCACAATACTGTCAGAAGAAGCTGGCCTTTGCTGCGTCGCCCTTCATGGCCAGTAGGGTGGCTTTGGATCATCTGAAGTACGGAGTCTCCTCGAAAGCACAAGGAAAGCTGTCAGGACGATTTCGGACGAGGATGTTTCTGACGATGATGGCGACTGCAAAAATCCAAGAAATGGAGAGCGGCTCTACTAACAAAGCCAAGGGTGATGTGGACATTGCCCGGCAAAGCAACATGTCAATACATGGCATCTGCACTGAGCTGCACGCCACTTGGCAGGGCCGATTGCCTGGTGTAAGCACCTCCGGCAGTGCTTAGACACCCACACAACAAAGCCGGCTGCAATGTGTGACGCTGCTCTTCCCATCATGACGTTGTAGCGCCTGCTCTTCGGCGAGAAGCCTGACGAATCAACAGGAATGCTTGGGTCATAAAATCATGGGGGAGTTTGAGACCTCAACTGTAAGGGAAGTCGCTCAACATGCCAACCCATCTCAGACGGGAGCGGTAGGCACAATGAAGGTCTCCACGAAACACAACCTCAGGCTCTCTACAGCAATCGTGCTTTTGACCAACACTTAGGCGAACAGCTGAGCCAGCTGCCCTCCAGCCTGACTGACCTCACAAGCTGCCCGTTTGGAGGCTTCTTCGAGACATTGTAGGGGCCTTTATAATTAGAATAGGATTTTGGGGCCCATTATACTATATGTATAATAAGGACCCCAACATCGTGTAGGTTATATTCAGGCCCCTACATTAAGCCCGACCCCAGGCGCTCTCCCGGCATTTGATGCACTCGCGGTGGTGGGCTGGCAGGAGGTGCTGAGTTTCGGACCAAGGAAATTCGGGAAGCTATACGATCTCAAACTTACATACAAACTACTCCACGTCTTCCCCACTAAGCGGATCTGTACAGCAATTTGTGGTCTGTACAATGACAAACACCTTGAGTCCATGTCTCTGCAGTCCAGAGAGCGTCAGTTTTGTGCGATTCCACGGCACATGTTGTTTCACCGGCACATCGCTCATACTGCAGCTTGACACGGTCCAGGCGTTGTCGAACTACAGGCCCTCAACTGGTTGCGTGCCAGACAATTGTCTACCTCGAAAAAAGCGATCAATCTCACGCCGGATCCTCTGCACGTGCGCGTCAGTACCCCACCATGTATCCATCAGCGCATGGAGCCCTCTCAAGTCGGAGGCCTGCAGCAAGGGGGCGGCCTTCGGAAGGTTTGCGTGTTGGCTGCCGGCTTCCCAACTCCTTCACTCCCTCACTCACTCACTCACTGCCCCAGCATGGTCGAGTTTGGGGATAGACTTCAGCAACACAAGCAACATCGATGGCTCCAAACTATGTGCCTGCGCCAACTGCTGGATTGCCTGCAATGCAGTCGGTGTAGGAAGCGGGGTTAGTCGAAAGCAGTGTCCATCACTGATGCCCAGTACTGCCGGGTGCTTGTGTCAACGGCATCAGCACCTAATTAGCCAAATGCTAAGACCTTCTTTGCTGCCGTCAGCCTGCTGCGACTCCGAAGAAGCAAACGATTGCAACAGCCAAGACTAGTCTGAGAACATATTGTCATACTAGTATACTTCTCACGGACGCGGCTCTGCCTCCATGGCTTGCTCGCGGACAGCAGCGTCGCCGTGCCCAGCCTGCCAGCAAGCGGCCTCCAGTGTGCGGCGATGTCCGGGGCCTGCTGCTGACGACCAAAACAGGACTGGATTTACAGCACAAGTCGAGCAACACCGTCTAGTCTAAGACGTTTGGGACAGAAAACTAATCATGTGATTAGATCATGGTGAAGGATTCAGCTCCAACCGCATCGCAATGCAATGCCGATTCATCTTAGCCGTGGCGCGACTCGCTGCTTCTGCCCGAGACTCCGATTCTGCCTGCTTTGATGCGACTGTGCCTGCTGCCAAGGTTGCGCATTCCAACGCGAGACGCGTGTGCTCGGCTGGAAGTCTCGGGAGCTCTGCCACGGCGGCCCTGGTCAAACGCCCGAGATCCAAGACATGCCGGTGCCAGCACACACAAGACATGCCACTGCATCAACAGCTTTTACCGCGGCTACAGTAGGGCTTGGTACAAGTATCCGGTAGATGGCAAACCCCTGATCTGCAAGGCTGATGCCGCTGGGTGGCCACAGGTCTGCATCCTCTTCCTCAGCCATGCTGCTGTCAGGGTCCGTTCGGAGAAAAGGCGTGACGTTCGTGATGCTAACCTCGGCAAACGTCAGACAAGGTTGACAATCTACCAGTCCTTTCTGATCTGTCTCTGTCAAATACATGTTGTAACTGCAGAACTTCTTCAAGAGCAGTATGAGATGTAGGTTGGGCACTGGTAACTTCCGCAGCCATGTCACCAGTACCCAAGAAAGTAAGCTGTCTGGCAGAAACTCTGGCATGGATCGTGCAGCCTGCAGGTGCAACTGTCGCCGACCTAGATTCCTAGATGATTGAAGCCAGGAAAATGCTGCAGTTTCTAATTCTACAAAGCCGTGAACCCTTCTCAACCAGCTCGACGAGTTGCTGTCAAGAGCATCGGCTCAGGCACTGCTGCGCAGGGGAAGTTGCCGCTCTTGTTCACCCACTTGAATTCCAGGCAGGACTGAAGCTTTTCCAGCGAGACACCTCTTTCAGCAGCCACTTGCGGCAACTGGGTGGATTCCAAAATCTCCAATCCGCTCATGGGTATCAGCTGCCGATACATCCACCCAGGCTTCAGCCGCCGAGCCGTGGTGAGGTAACCTCCCAGCGTGCCCCTCGCTGCCTTGAAGGCATCGTTGACGAAAATGGCTCGTCCACCTTCCCATGGCCGTCCTTTTGAAGGCACTTTGCTGCGCCGCTCCACGTGCTCTAGGAGACTCTGCATGAGCGAGGCCTCGTTTTGTGAAACCTCTTGCAGAGAGAGGGAGAGGCTTGCGCGGTCTGAATAAAACCATCGTGCAATTGCCATGGCAGCTTTGCGCTGCAGCTCCTCGTCCCCAGAAGTCAAGGCCCGTGCCAGCAATCTAGTTGCTTCCGTGGCTGGTAAGCCCTTCAACAACAGCTGAAGGGCCAAGTCTCTCAAGCTGGTATCCTGGAAGCTCAAGGCCCCGATGTAGCAGCAGGCGAGATCACCACCGAATTCCAAGAGCTGCAACATCGCCCCATATTTCCCTGCACCATCGACAGCTGCCAGGCAAATGTCTCGACAATGAAAGACCTGCAGGATCAACTGTAGCTCTGTTCCATCGCAGTATGGACCCACCGGAAGGTCGTCCATGAGCTCGATGGTCGCACAGCCATCACCTCAACACCATCAAAAGCACGGTTATCGTTATGCATTTCGATGCTCACACTTGCACAAGCCAGGCAAGGCTTCAGGGCGAACTATCGCTGTGCAACTCGATTCTCTCACGAATTGAAGTACACCCGCATCGAGCGCCGGAATGCCTTCACGTAGAAGCACTTGCCAATCCACTGGCACTCCAGTATCAAGCTCAATTCCTCAGCTGCTGCCACAAGGGCCAGGATGCTACTCGCTCGCTACGGCTACGAGCAATGGACATGGTGGACCTGCTGCGGTGGTTTCTTCGTGGTCTCTCTTGCATCCCATGTCTGGTATGGTATGCCTATGACAAGCAAGGTAGTTCGACGGTGTTGCTAGAGGCCTGTTCAAATCTGCTGAGCAACGCTGCTTGAGGTCTCGTGTCGTCTCTGCAGATGCCACGCTGAAACTCAGAGTCTGTCCTCCGGCAGCCGCACAGACGCTTCGGCTGGCTTGTGGCGCTCCCACGACATTGCCCCGGAAAGCTTTTCGTGAACATTAGGGCAGAGAGCATTGAGGCTTGCCCTCCAAACCGACATCCACCCTGATGTCCTGACAAGCGCAGCACGCGAACCTCGACATCCTCCAAGACCGGCCGCTGCACCGAGCCCGGTACTTGGGAAGATCCTCGCAGGCCTCGTAACTTGAGTCCATCCATTGCAGCGAATGGCATGGACGACAAACCCGTGTCAGCTTCACTGGTAAGGAAATCCAGCCGAGCTACTTGCAAGCCAATCCTGCATCTCGTCCTCCTGGCGAAGCTGCAACATCTCGGCTTTCCGAAACTTTGCTTTTGCGTCCTCCGGGCCCAAGCCGCGCAGCATCTCCGAGGCCGGAAGGTTTGTGTTCCTGAGACTTGCAGGGACCCTAGCCCCAGCCGCCCTAGCCGCCCTAGCCCTCAGCTCTTCCTGCTCTGGCTTCTGCCGCTTCTGCCTTCTAAACGTCCAGGCCTCGGCCCATGTGCCAGCCTTTCGGCCCAGCTTCGTGCCTCTGGAAGAAACATGACAACGCTATCTGCCCGCGCTGCCTAGTCCACTCGGAATCTCATGGACGATTCATGCTACTGGGTATCATGTGCTACCCAGGCGGAAAAAACTGGTGCAGGCCTCAAAGACGAGGCGCTTCTTGTGAAAAGGCTCCTGTGCAATATTCAGTCACTCAAACTCAGCCAGGTAAAGGATGGCAAAAGCAAACTCCTTGCAGCTACTTCTACGGTCTTAGCTTTGTATGCGCAGTACAGCATTGCAAACGGTGCAATGACAGTGCAAGAGCTTGCAGGCGTTGGCATGCGATCACATCTCACGCCGTACACCCGCACTCGAATGCAACTCTCTATCAAGCGACAAGTCAATCGCAAATAGCAAGTCCTCCCAACCTAGGCCAGTCCTGGCCTCAAATGTGTCGACGTCCATGGCTGTGGCTTTGGGCTCCTCTGGAGCGGTGTAAGTTTGGACCTGGAAGCAGCTGCTTGGACCATGGTAGGTCTGGAGGTGCTGCCTTGGGCCTTGGGCCTGTCGACACCGTCAACACCGCTGCTCGAACTTGATACTTGCATGCATGCCCGGTGACACCACTCAGCCTCATGATGATCTACGCATCCTAAGCAATCACAAGCAATGCAGCAATGCGACCCAGTGGACCTCATTTGAAGAACCTGTTCAGTATCTCCAACTTATTACAGATCTCCACTCCTGCGACTTTGCTGGCCAGCCTTGGGCCAGGACTTGTTTGCTGGTCTCCGTGCCGAAGATTTGGCCGCCGGCGGTGGCCGCTTCCCCTTGCCTGCCCCTGCATCGATCGCAAGTCGCTTCTTTCCATGGTTCTCACTCTTGCAGAGGATCAGAAGAACCATGATGGAATCGTGGTGCAGCCCTGGCATTGTGCATTTCACCCGTTTTGAGCCTTTCAGGGCCATGGCAGCCCCTTCCACTTGGCTGCGCACTTCGGCAGGAGGGTACCAAATCGCTCCCCCTTGAGCCGCGAGGCCTATTTGCTTTCAATAAGAGGCAAGACATGTCCAGTGCACACAGGCACAACTGTAAGGAGAGGTGCGTGGGAAAAGCCGGACTAGCTCGGCGGCTTGCGGTTCTCGCAATTGCTAAGGACAGAGCTGTCGCATGTCAGCTTCAAGCAGTGAGACTTGCCGTCTTGCCGAAACCACCTCAGTGGCTGTAAGGCCAGCAGCCCCCAGCTAAATCTGCGCAGCTACGCCAGGCTACATCTGTGTGACTAAATGTACTGACCAAAAATCAAGCTGAAGGCCATGTGCACGAGCCGGCGAAGATGCTCATCACATTGTTCACGCAGGTACCTCTAGGTCGAGTGCAGCCGTATTGGCTCAGCTGGGCCTTGCTTTCGCCATGAAAGCCAGAACCAGCAAACAACAGAACACCGACATCACTGTGACGCTGTGCCGTCCGGGCCACCGTCCTCCGAGCTACAGGTGTGAAAGTCATGATGCGGAGGCTCTTGAACGGGCCTGTCAGCATGCCAGGCGCTCACCCCTCAGGGCCCTCTGTAATGGGGCTATACGCAGGAGGCTCTCAACAAGATACTTTTGACAATCACGAGGGATGGGGAGTGTTGAAGCAGACGACACATGAGATGCAGTATGATCCAGCTACCAGGACGAATTCATCGAATGCAACAGAGAGTAAGTGGCACCAGTAGCCATTCACTTTGCGAGCATGTTCCCTCGCACGCCGAGTGCCAAACTCTCCTGTGCCGATTTCGTACCAACGCGGAAACCTCAGACTGGTCCCTACCGGCGAGCCTGCAATGCAAGAAACCACGGCCTAATGCTTATGGAGTTTGGACGGATCGGAGTTCTGTTGTTCCGTATGCTACGGCTACTCAGCGCATGTCGCATACTTCTCAAGGCCGCAGCGTTCCCAACTCGTCGCAAGTGGTGTCAAGCTCGCCGCCGTCCTCCCAGCGAGCCTCAGACTCAGGCTTGGAGTCGAACAGCCACACTTACACGAGCCACAGCGAGCTGAACGCCTGCAGCCTTTCGAGCAACATCAAGAACTTTTTTCGGACAGCTCTGCAAGTTGCGGATTCTTCGTGTCGCCAGTCGTGCGATGCCTCGAAGGTACTGTCGGATTACCGCCGGAACGCAGCATGGTAAGAGATGCAAGTGGATTGGCAGGTGCAGGCACAGATTACGATAGCCTAGAGCTGATTCTACTATCTACTATTGCGATGGACACCCGTGACAGAGCGCCCTTTCCCTCAGCTTCTAAACTGCCGGGTCATGCAACTATTCCGCACCAAGATGCTGAATGGACACCCAGTCGCTTTCTGTGCCGACCTGGGGCATCGAAACACTGACAAATGTCCTCTAGATGGAAGCTGTCAGACTGACAGGCCTTGCGGCGAGCCAAAGCCGAAGGAAAAGCTCCGCCTCGACAGCTTTTCTCTAGTAATCTCTTTGGCCCTAAAGCTCTCATCTAGGCACAAGTTGTGCGCAACGAGGCGAAGTGCAGCGAAGATCCTTCCGCTGCCGCTGGCTGCCAGAGCGAATCGGCGCTCCGCAAGCATGCAGAGCCAAGAGATTGCCTGTGAGAAAATAGCGAGCCAGACTTTGCAGAGCATCTTCTCGGGGATTCGGGCAAAGAGTTTGTGAGGGTGAGGTGAGGAATTATTCTTACTCAGGCGGCCTCATCAGCTGGTTCGTCGTCGTATGTTTTGGACAGTATTGGGGTAGACAGGAAGTCTCCACTCATTCAAGCCCTAACGCAAACCGCAGCGAAGGCATCGAACAGCAGCACTGCGCAGAACAAGCGCTGACAATGCTGATGCCATGAACATTGCGGTCATGGTCATGATTGCAGGTGGCTTGACACAACACACAAGGCGAGCAACGAGACAATGGCCTGCGGCGTGTGATGGCGAACGTTTGAGGCAGTGTTTTGGGCAGCATTGGGCTGGTAGGCAGGAAGTCGCCACTCATTCAAGCCGGACTAACTGTCGCCAGCGCCATGCCATTGAGACATGTCGAAATCTTTCTACCACGGTCGCCTGATCCTTCTGCCTCAATGCCGAAGGACAAGCAGTCGCCCCGGCAGCATATTGCCTCTCATGCGAGCGAGCAGCAAGACCGCAATCTTCAGGCTTTCACAGTGCCGCAGACACTGTGGCTGTGGTTTCACGTCGCCTCCTTCACACCCTAGCCCTGGGCATGAATCAGGAGCCCGAAACTGCCAACAGCTTTAGAGTATCTCGATGCAGAACACCACGAAGCATCAGCGGGCGAAGGAGGCACAAACAGCTTTTGCACATCATATGGCCGCACGTATGTTCACTATTGCTAGACTTCTGTGCATGCACGTGTATGCCGTTGCATATCTGTAGCTATGCCCTCCATAACTCAAGCGAGCCTGGGCTTGATCCTGCAAGATCTGACCCAAAGGCGCAGAAGGCAACCTCAATGAGCAGGGTCTCTTCAGATTCGGAAGGAGGATGCAATCTAGGCAAATAGCCGCTCGCAACAAGTGTCGTCCATGTTATTTCTGACGAAGCACAGATTGGTCACCATGACGCCTCGAGGACGAAGGAGCCCTTTGGCAAGTGCCTCAGACCACGTGCTTGACTTCAACCCAGGCCATGCAGTCGACCCCAGGTGCTCAAGTATATTAAACGACCTCGGGGTATTAGAGATCCTTACGTCGCAGTGAGCAGCCTTCGGCACCCGCACTTTCTTACTAGTATGCCCTGGTTTGAAGATCCAAGCTGGCCTCGGGATGCGAAGTAAAGCCAACGGTCACAACAAGCGAGCCGGGCAATCCCAAGGCAGGTGAGAGCGGATCGAAGTTGCGATCGAACGGGAGAGGTTGCGTTGCCAAGCTGCGGAAGAGAAGCTGGAGCCTGCAGAAGTGAAAGCAGAGGGAACGTTGCCTTCTACGTCGTAGGCATCGATGACCAATGCATCGTACATCCCGCTGTGCAGTCCTCGGCTGGATGAAGAGATTCCGAGATGAGGTTTGAGCTAGCGTAGGATGTGTAGATGCCGCGAATGAGGTTCTCAACTGTTTGGACACTCCGACTGAACCTAATTGCTGAGAAAGACAACGCTCGCCGTCTTGTCGGGTGATTCTATTTCCTGCCAGTGGGCCGCCAGTGCTGTGCACGGCTTGATGCACAAACTTGGCACCATCGTCCAAGTAGACATTGATCCGAGGATGTGGCGCAAAGCCCATGGACTCTGCCGCGTCAAGGACAGCAGGCTCCAGCTCCACTACATCCACCCGACAGTCAGGAAGCATTTCTGTGAAGAATGCTGGCATGCTTCCGCCCCCGAAGCCAATGCACAGGATGCGAAGCTCAGGCTCCTCTTTCTCAGAGTCAGTCAGGGGCGCCCGTTCCAAAACCAGCTCGAGCGCTGCCAAGACCGAACTTGCCACAGACTTTGTGTAGGGCATGAGCAGGCAATTTCGAAGATGCTGCCTCTGGTTACCGAGCTCGTCGATCGAGACTCGGTTTATTGCCTCTGGAGGCGACAGGGCGAACATGCAGGACTCGGTGTGAGCATCAAGCACTGCACGGCATGCAATTCGGCATTCATAAGCAAGCTCAAGAATGCCAGTGCAATGCGTACAGCCCGTACAGCCATTGGAAAGCAATGCCTATGCCGCATCGAAGACAGCAGTAAACACCTCCACAGACCGAGACCTTCTCGAACTGCGACCACATAAACCCAGGCCATCCTGGATCAAGTCGGAAGACCGGTTCTCGGGAATGAAGCGCAGAACACGCCACTCCTCGCCAAATACACGATTTCATGTTGCTCCGCAATCTTACCGAACCGCAGCGAAGTTGTCGATGCACGCATCCGAAAAGCCAGCTAACGAAAACGCACTTCTAGTGCTCATTTGTAAGTGCCGTGAATGAGCGAGTTTGCAAATCAATGCGCTGACTTAGATGGCAATTTGCATTTGACTGCATTGGGCTCCTGCACCCAACCTTCAGGTAGCGCACCTGCTGGAGTGGCGCGGTGTGCTGTAACCTTGCGACGAGACATGACCGGATCTGACCGTACGTTGCGGCATAGCATGAAAGGATAGCCTTGTACAGTTACTGTTGCAAAATATGCAAAGCTTTCGGCAGCAAAGCCGTGTTTGCAAGCACTAGCACCGCACGGCACGCCAGTGTTTGCACCGGGAAATCATGAAAGCATTGAGTCCTATACTATACTGCCACGACATGACCCAAGAGCACTCGATGTACAAATACACTGGCTCACTCGTCCCTGGATCCCAAGCAGCCTGCAGCTCGCCTCCTTCGGGGTCACATGTCCGTTTTACGCCCTCATGAGTTCGAATTCGAATCAGAAAGTATACCTGCATCTTCAAGAAAAGCTTGGAACTGCGGCACTTAAGCTTCATGATGCTTGGAGCTCCAAGCTCCAAGATGCTGCGAAGCATGAGTCTCAGCCCTCGGTCCTTGCGAAAGCTGCTGCCGTCTGAGCAAACGACCAGGCATGAGGACCTCATGGATAAGTGCCTGGCTAGGGGGTGTTGGTTCATCCAGTGCTCCATGAGCCACACCTTGTGATTCCTGCGACTCTCCATCATGATTGAATGATTCGTCCTAGCCTCTCGGCCCGGGTCACTGTCGCCAGGCCGTGTTGCCGCAGCGCCAAGCACCTGGACTTCGGGGCATGCTGTTGCGCTTTGTGTTGTTTCAACACCCAAAAAGGGACCGTCCGTCTATCTTTGTAGCTTACAGCCAATGCATTTGACGACCTCGGCAGGATTTCTCTCTAGGTTTCAGCTTTGTTGTACTTTGATGCCTGACGCCTGATTCCCTGATCATTCACTCGCTTTCTGCTGTGAGCTGCCACATACACAAACAATCCTTAAAGGCTGAAGTGGGGCGGAGGACAAGCGTGTCACGTCATATCTCGGCAGCACATCTAACAAAGTCATGCTTCTCGAGGGGCACCAGTGCTGTCGCACTGCCGGGAATGGCCACACGCCTTCCTAATCGACGGCCGACCAGGCGAGAGGCGCGCGAGGCCATCGGGCTCTCTCTATGAGAGCTTCAACCAGTCGCAATTGTTGTTATGTTGAACAGCTGTCATGGGCTGCGCAGCGTGGCAAGTAAGCCACTGTGATCCCCGGTCCAGGCTCCTAGACACTGGACTGTCAAAGCAGCAGCACATTTGTCACGGAGGTCGCTAGGAAGGTTGTTAGATGCTCATAGGTTGAGTCTGAATCAAATCAAGTTTCCGACGGAAGCACCAAGGCCACTAAGCCAAAAAGCCTCTTAGGAGTCCAGCACCACGTCTGTAAGGGTTCACCACGTAAGGCCGTTGAGGGCTTTCGGAGCATTCTGTGCTGTGGGGCTTTTTGCCACACGCGAGGAATGCGCGAGTCTAGCTCTATCTTGCAAGCCCTGGCCCTTGAGGCCGGGTGCAAACACACGGGATAAGACTTTTAAGAGGCGAGACATTCACAGGCTTCCATCTTCAATCGGACGGGGCTGCATCCGAGTCTAACTGCGAAGGAAGCATGATTGAAATGTCGCGCTTGCTCAGCATTCAACGACATATCACTGAACCAGATGCTTTATCTGGCGGTGTTCGGCTTGTGGGACGATTGGCATGCACATTTGCACTCTGAGATGCTGGATGCTACGCCGCACCCTCCAGCACCTACCATGCACAACTGCCTGCTGGCAGGCGAACTTCCGGGGATTCGACATCCACTGCAGCCACGCCACTGCCCTCAGCATCACGAGGCAACAAAAGCAGTGCACAGCCTTGGCCCTGCACGGCACTCAAAGCAAAAAGGACCACTCCCACAAACTTCGCGATGCTTTGACGACAACGGGCCCAGAGTTCAGCTTGACAACCCAAGTGGACGCGTACGTGGTGCGCAAGGCGCAAGCTCGAGCGGCCAAGCGACCGAATCCAGGTGCACTGCTGCGAAGCCCGCCCGGTTAATCAAGGGGGCACCTTGGAGTTCGAAGTAATGCGGCCCGTATGCATACCCGTGACTTTCACGCCCAGGTGCAGCAGCCGCCTCCGCCACCGGACAGAATGTCAAGACACATGCCAGATTCGTCCTTGAAGGGTTTCAGCTGCAGTTGACGACTCAAAGTCCCCCCGCCCGCGGCCCAGTGATCCCGGTCCTTCTTGTCACACTTCTGGTCATGGACATGTCCATATGCACCTTGGGCTGCTTGCGGTTCATTGAGTTCTGGTCGGACTTCCATGGAGTTCAGTCCGTCCTTCTAGATTCTTGAGTTTCTGAAGTCTGCCACAGCGCAGAGCACTTTGACCTTGCCCTTGCGTGAAGCTGGGAGGGAGTCTTCGAAAAGATCCCTCGGGCAGAAGTGCGGGTAGTGCTGGATGATCAGAACCTCAAAACTGAGAACTGCACTCCACGTAATTGGAAGCACAAAGAGGAAAAGAGCATCAAACCCATACGTAAGCTTTAGAGAGGAGCCGTCCCAGCTTTGTTCTTCTTCGCCCGTTCGATCACCAGCCGACGACCGGCTTCGTAGGTCTTGTTGAGGAAATTTTGGGCCACAGAGCGACCACCGCAAAGCGCATCGGCCGAGGCTCGGCCTCTTGGGTTCCCGCCGACATCTTCTGGGCTGAGGCGAGCGGAGGTGTCCACCGCTATGACCTCCACATCTGCGTGGGCATCACTGGGGATGGCGTAGTGATAGTTGTAATCTGGAAGCCAATACATCCTCGACAAGAAAGGGCTCTTGAACGGCACGACAAGAACCTAAATCAGAACAGATGCTGTGGCAAATGTTTCGCATTCAAGACACTCGGTGCCCCAAGGGCGGCTCGGATTCTTGTCCAAGTTCAGCTGGTGGCTTGCATACGCCTGTACAGGGGCGACGCGAAAGTGTGCCAGCGCATCGCTTCAATATAACCCTCTTCGGCGACTGTGCCTGTCCATTGATGACAGTTCTCTGAGCTGATTCGTCTTTGTGCGGGCAGAAAGCATATGGATCATGGTTTCCATAGTCATGATTCCCATACCTCGTCTCTTGCACCACTGTGCAAAGCACTCAAGCGCAGAGCTACTGCACCAAAGCCAAGGCACACAGAAAGCCACGGAACTTGGTAAACTGGTGAGTTCGGATCTTGAGTGCCGTAGGGCTGGGACCATACCTTCGGCGCAAACGTGCGATCACAAGCATCTAGAACTGCTAGATTCTGCTAGATATGCTGAACCTGCAACCCGGCAGAACTTACTAAGTACCCTGTCAAAGTCCGTCCCCCGAAACACAGGCCGGATGAGGCAAAAGGGCTGCCACCTCAGGGCAAGGCTCGGCGTCCCAAGCCTCTGGAGTTGCCCCAGTCCAATAGAAGTTGTCCCCGACTGTCGCAATGAACAGCAGCTTCTTCGATGCCAACGCCTGTTTTTTTGGTGTGTGCTCAGGGCTTTTCTCTGTCTCTGATCTACACTGCAGCTCCTGCTTCTCGGCGTAGGCTCGCAAATGGGCTGCCACGGCCTTCCCCAAGGACCATGCGGGTGAAGGCACAACAAACAATCAAGCGCGGGCCCAGTAAGGGTGGAGAAGCAAATCCAACCACATTGACATGTCTCCCTGCACTGATGCTGCACTTCATGGTCTCACGTTACACAAGAATTATCGCGGAACCATTGTTTTGTTCAACATGGATTTTGGCTAAGTTGGCCAATGCCAGTGCCTTCTGGCAGCTGCCAGGGCCGCCTGCCTTGCCCCAGTCACCAAGGATCAGAAAGTAGCTCATGTCTCGGCCGGCTCTGGACATCTGCAGGGGAGAAATGCATGCCTAGCAAAACAACTAGGGCCTCCTAAGAGTACTTGCAAGCCACCGGGCTTGTGATTCAGATGGGTCGAAGGTGCACCTCAATTCCCAAGGGGTTGTCTGAGGCATAGTTGTTGGAGTATGTATGTGCGGCGGGCAGAGGGCCAGATGGATGTAGATTAGTCACATGAGTGGTCGTCGCAGTCGCAAGAGTCGTTGTACTTTCCTCTTCGTGTGAGCGGTTCCAATATTCCCAAGAGATGTCTCCATCCATCCCGTCTCCGTCAGAACCTTGGTCTTGTGAAGTGTAATCTGTGCCTGCGGCGTCTCGACCTCTCTCCGAGGTAGATGCATCCGCCCGGTCACCGTCTCCGTCAGAACCTTGATCTTGCGATGTGTAATCAGTGCCTCTCTCCGAGGTAGATGCATCCGCCCGGTCCCCGTCTCCGTCAGAACCTTGGTCTTGTGACGTGTAATCTGTGCCTGCAGCGTCTCGACCTCTCTCCGAGGTAGATGCATCCGCCCGGTCACCGTCTCCGTCTGATGCGAAAGAACCATCCCACGCTTCGTCCGCGTCGCCGTACCCGCGGTATGCAGACTGGTGTCCCGGGCGCGTGACAACTTCGCCCCTCTGATCCTGCTCCCATGTCGCCGGATCTGACCATGGGTCGTAGTCGTCGACACCCCCACTTGCTGGCATCTGATCGTAGATGCGGCCGCTCGAAAATTCCTGAATGACAGGTGTGTCCTGGCCCTTGGCTTCGCCGTGCGCCAGAGGAGCGTGCCGGAACCATGCAACTGACCCAAGGAGCAGTATGACGACCAAAGCCAGTGGTATGTGCCACCGGCGGGATGCTTGGATTCGGTCTGCCTGATTCCCAGATTCTAGCTGCAAAAGCAGCTGCGTTTCGTCTTCATCCTGGCAGGCGGGCCCACTGATATCAATCTACAGTCTTGCTAAGCATTGATCTACGGCAATCCACGGCTACCGAGTTTCTGGATATCCAGCTGGGGCCTGGGAGTTTCCGGCAAAGCGTATTGTCGCCATGGCATAGGTCGTGACTGTGCTGGATGCTAAGATGCAGTACAGAAGCCGGCTGGATTTTTTGGTCGTTACTGCACATCACATTTCCAGAATCCTGCAGACTGCCTCCGAAAGCAAAGAATTGCTGGGTTCACGTCTGAAACAACATAAAGCTAAAGCTGCAGCATGAAGACTGCTGCAGACATCTCATCGGCTTTGCCGGCAGTACTGAATGATTTCCTCTACTGCCGCACAGGGCATGCACACCCACTGGAGCTGGGGATCCGGCAAAGGGCCCCAGCCGAGGGTCCACGTAAGATGTGCCTGGCGAGACATAGGCACAACGTATTGCCAGGTGTGCTTGCTAGTGGTGCAGGCCCCAAGAGGATAGCCCCACTCAGGCTGTTGAGCAAAAAGATCAAAAGGGGCATGTTACTAATGTTTGTGGGTGCTGCAGAGGTTCAAGCAGGATACATGTTCAAACATACATACATGAGTTCTGTAATACAGATGCGGACAAGCTCATTCATTCCGAGCCCCTGCTTTCTGTAAGCCCAAGTGCACTTGCAGGTGAGTGCATGATTTAGCGTGCGCATGTCATGTGGGCTTCGGGGCGTGTTCATCCATGCACCTGAACAACATGTGTAATTATGGCCCATAGCTGTTTGTTTATCCGACGAATTACGCAGCAGACACGTATCCACCCAACAAGCACCTCCACAACAAAGCAGCGATGATTCCAAATAGCATTCCCGCCGACTTGACTGACTTGACATTGATCTTCAGCGTTCCGGCAAATTGAAGTGTGAATCCCCGCCTAGAACAGACATCTCCTGCTCGGCAGCCACCACAAGCCTGGGCAAGGCTGCAAAGCTCGAGCGCCCCACATGCATGAATCAAAGCAAAGAAGGCCCCCGAAGCCGAAGACCTCCGAGCCTTCCCAGAAGCCTGCGTGCGACAGATAGAGTTTAGCCGAGGGAGCCCGTGCAGAGCTGCACGCGGCAGCTTGTAGTAGCTGCGTAGCACCTACAGTTGCATTTTGGCAGCCGGCATCGACACGAAAAATCAGACAGCATGTCCCTTTTGTGGAGTGCTCTTTCACACCCTGATGACTTTGGCCTCTTGATCTGCCTGTCGCAGACCTCCAGGCACAGTTGCGAGCAAGGCCTTCTTGACCTGTGAAGGTCTCGGCAATTTGGCCATTGAAAAGGCTTGTGGTGCTGCATGGGCTCGGATCGCTATGGAGATCCACGATCCCATGAAAAATTAGCACTGCACCGAATCAGTACCACTCGTGACAACTAGCAAACCAATCATAGCAACATGCCGGCCCAATCAACAGTTTCGGACATGCTCACTCGGTCGTATAGTGTCGTGATGCGGGAGCCTCCGGCACGAACTGCAAGTCCATTCCTACAAGACGACACTTCGGGGAGACTCAACACATGCTGCGGATGATATATATATATATATATACACACATGGCATTGCTCGTAAACTCGACCCTCAGCTGTGGGACATCCTGGACATGTGACGGATTCCATGTCCAAACCGGATGTGTCGGATGTGGTAGAGCAAGGCACGAGACATGATACAAGGTCTCTGCAGGGTCTCTGGCCACCGCCAGTACCACTTCATAGCAGCATGCAGTCTAATTGAGAAGCTGAGGCGAGATCGGGTGAAATAGACCTTGCAGCCCGAAAGCAAATGTGGCACTTGCAAATGTGAAATCGTACTAGTAACATGGTCAGCTCTGAAAAAGACGGTCGCGTGTGAATGCAGGGCATGTAACGAGAAAGGAACGGATCCAGGCAGATTCCTTCACAAGAAGTATGGAGCGATGATATAGTGTCTTGCTACAACAGGGGAAACAAAATGAAACCAAACACTGCTGAGTCGCTGGCACCTGCACGACTCATAAGGAGGTGATTGAGCTTCCTTGCCTCCAAGCGCGGCTCATCCTCAGATAATACACAGCAGTCGTTTTGCACGCATGCGTTGACTGTTTTCATGAACCATAGCAGCTCACTTCAATCAGTAAACACTATGTAATGGGTTCCAAACGATGCACAGGCACATGCTTGAACCATTACGTGTCAGTACTTCCTTTACCACTAGCCGCAGTAGCCAAAGGTCGCTGTTGACGTGCTGCCCTTCGATGCTGGCGACATGCTCGGTGCCGTCACTTGAGACGTAGATCGACATGGCAGCAGCTTCAACTAAATGTGGCGGTACTTCTGCGCTCATGTGGCTCCTTTGCGGCCGAGTTTGGTCGCCTCGGCGGCGAAGCGGTGCTGTGCACATGTCTATGTCATTTCATTGCTGCTTTGCTTTGCTGACAGTGCGGGACTGTTGGCAACTGCTGGCAGGTCTGGAGCTTGGCTGTGTATGTGCGAAACATTCCAAGCTCCTCCACATGCTGTTAGAAAGGACGGACTCTCTGAGATCCCAAGGCATGGGTGGCAGCATGTCATGACCCAAACCTCAGTCCTGGGAGCCTCACAGAATCTGCACCGCAACAGAACTCTACAGAAGTTCACGTCGTTGGCACGGTATCCTGAGGCTCCTTTTGGTCCATGCAGCACAAGCACTTGTGAGAGATCAGTGCCACGACTTCAGCCTCAGATGCAAAGTGTGAGCCTCGACATGACCTCTGCTATGGGAAGACAAGCGCCCGACGAAAAAGGTTGACTTTTTGCGCAAATTGCGTTGCAGCGAGTAGTCATCTGCGTGGCCAAACCGTTTCGAAAATGTGAAATATATCACAGAGCAGATTCAAACCACCATGGGCAATAAACCGATGCGCTTAAACACGCTCTCTTCGGCCAATGCGCGAAAATCTCGCGAAGATCTGCCTCTCCCAAGAAGAACGCAGCACAACTCGTAGTGACAAATGTTAGCCCTTCTGGTTCAGCATTGCGGGAGGGTTCTTCCAGGGAGAGCTATATATAGAGAGCAACACGATACCCTTTGGGTTGAGCTCCTGCTATATGTCCTGTCTTAGAGCCCGAAGCAGGCCGTCATCACATCTCTCAGCTCTTGCTTGCAATGGACTCTGCCACGTT